GCTTGAAACGGTCCAGGTCATTCATGGTCTTCCTCTTTTCCTTAGCCACAATCTTCATTAGAGCGGCTGTCTCCTTGTACTTGGTCTCAATGTCTGTGGCAACGAGAGCCTTGCGAACCACACGGGTGGAGGTGAAGTGGAGGATCTTCACCTCGTACTTGGTGAACTGGAATCTCTTGAATGGTATAGCCTGGAGGGGCACTGCTGTGGTGGAGCCATCAATCAGGGCCCTGGTTTGGTCCACAACATCAACGATCCGCCAAATGGTCCAGCGGGGGCAATTGAGACTACACGTATCTTGTACATTGCACAAATAAAGAAACGCATTGCTTTTGTTTTTATTCTTATTTCTTTATTATTGTGAGATCACCAAGTTCTCTGTGAAATTTGAACCAAGCTGTATATGTAAATATTGTAAAATATTTCCCGAAATAGATATATCACTTTATTCTCTGAACATAGTCTCTATTTATTAAATTTGATTTTTTTTTGTGCAAACTATAATAAACATTTTCATAATTTGATGCATTAGCGCGCCATCTGTTATGAAAATTCGAAACTATTATAGACGTGTATGATTCTTTTAAAATTTAAACAATTTCTACTGCTCTTACTGCAATGAAAAATTTAATGGGAGGGCCTGGCTTATCAGTTGGTGAACCCTCCCAGCGTTTTCGGCAGTTTAATCTTACCATACCGCTGTTATATTGCATTTTACTGTTTTCCTTTTATAGGGATACTGATGTTTTTATTTTTGGATATCCCTAGTACACGTGGTACAGGCCATGATAATCATATCAGTCTAGGGCGGACTTTATTCCATGAGATCCACACGGGATCTGATGGAGTCCTGACAATCTATCAAAGAGGTGTTTTGGTGGCAATGTGGCTGGGCCAAATCTATTGGCAAAACATAGATGGAAAATTTGCCGGGAGGAAATTAATCCATGGAACAATGGTCGCCTCTCCCGTGACCGTGCCCGTGTGTTGCCAGCAAAACACCTCTTTGGTAGATTGTGAGGATTCCATTAGATCCCGTGTGGATCTCATGGAATAAAGTCCGCCCTAGACTGACGAGGGCCATTAGCCCGAAACCATGGTCTCTATAGGTGGACGCTTATCAGTTTGCCAAAGTTGGTGTTGTGGCTTTGTCACCGACCCGATGCCGCTAGTTGCGGCGACGGTCAATAGATGGCGTCAGATTCTGACGTTTATTTTGACGGGAGAGGCGACCATTGTTTCCATAGTAAAATATGTATTGAGGTTTGTTCACAAAATTTCTAAAATTGTAAAGAGTAGACACAGTGCAATAGATTTATACAAATTTTGTGTGAAGGCGAGAAAAATGAGAAACATGTGTAAATAGGTTTAGTTTTTTTTTTGAGCTCATGTTAATACTGAATTATATATAGTACTTGATTTATGTTCAATTAAAACCATTGCTATACTGGGAGAATCCTGTATGGGGCTTGATCCATAATAAATTTTCTTGTGTGTGTTTATACGTACGTAATGGCATAAAAAAATGAAATGAAATACGCATGCGTCACTAAATAATACTAAATTTAGTCTTAATATTTACCGATAGAGATTTCTAAGATGATGATGGTGATGATTTCATTTAACAATCTATATACTCTGATTTAATACCAATCTCTAAACCTCCTAGAAACATTTATGTATAAAAAAAAGTTATTTTCCAAATTCAAATTGGATTTTGCTCAAATTGCTATCATTTAAAGTTAGTAGGTTTTCTAAAAATGTTCTTTTTATTTCTAACATCGTACAATTCGCTTTTTCTAGGATTCAATTAATTCCTACGAAATGTAACAATGCGTAGAATAAAACATGAACTTAAGGCTAATTTAACAGTTCCATAGAAATCTATGAAAGACAATTTCTTCAAACTACTTTTCCTATTGTATTATTATCTTCTGCAATTCTTTAGAACCAAAAGAAATTTAACACGCTTCGTTTGCATTCAAATACCTTTTCTAACTTTGTAATTCTCTCTACGAATAAATATAGAAAATATATGAGGTGTAATAAAATAGATTTCAGATATAATCATGTCATACGATCAAATTAAATTAAGCTTAGAAATTTTAATTTTATAAGAATAAATTAATATAAATACGCAAACACAAAAGATATATATAAAATGAAAGGATTTTAAAAGCACGAAGGTTCCTTTTATACATAATACAAACTTCTACTGCCCTTACTGCGATAAAAAACCCTTTCATTTTATATTTTTAGATGGCGCGTTATTGCTTTGTGTTACAAAAGATATATGTCAAATATAATTTTAATTGCGTTTTTTTTTTTTTTTTTTACGATGACATTTTAATTCAAACATTTTATATAATTGTATATATATATCTGTAAAAAATAGTACAAAAGTGAATTTATATTTGGATCAGGTGGATAAATTGAGAAAAGGGGCATTTTCTAATCGTGCAGTTAAAAGTTGCTGATGGCTTGCGCCATCTATCGGAATAAATATAAAATTCACTTTTGTACTATTTTTCAAATTGATTGGCGTTCTCAAGCCCTTTCCGGCCTAAATACCTGTTTCGTGGGTTTTCAAGAGGCCTCAAATATCAGAATATTTGGTCGTTGAGGTACAGCTTGCATCATTCTGACAAGGGCTAACAGCCCGAAACGCGTACTTGGTTAGCTTTTCATGATTAATCAAGAATGGGTATTTGGCCAATTCTGGAATAATTGATAATCAATGAATAGTTGATATTTATTCCAATAGATGGCGCAAGCCATCAACAACTTTTAGTTGAACGATTAGGAAATGCCCTTCATATACCTGTGTTATTTTGAGTAACGTTATTACTATCATTTAATAAACATTTATATTTTTTAATGATTGATACATTTAATATCATCGTATAATCTGACGCCATTAATCGCTGAAAATTATAAATACATTTTTAGTACTCTACTTTTCTTTTTAAACTTTATATAACAAAACCTATTTCTATTGCCCTTATACTGTAATGAATAAAAATTGAAAGAGTAAGGGCATGGTTCATCATTGGGGAAAAGGATTTGGTGATGCCCAATGATGAGCTATGCCCTCTCCATAAATAGATTTTATTTATATATATATTAAAAATCTTCAATTAAAAAGGCATATATTGGATCGAAATATAATTTATTTTACCAATATTTCAGTTGGCTGAACGCCAACCTTTATCAAGGTGTTATAACATTTTAAAGTGTGTCAACAACAAACTCAGCGCCACATAACGTCAACAGAATTAAGTTTTTGTTGACGTTATGTGGCGCTGAGTTTGTTGTTGACACACTTTAAAATGTTATAACACCTTGATAAAGGTTAGCGTTCAGCCAACTGATATATTGGTAAAATAAATTATATTTTGATCCAATATATGCCTTTTTAATTAAAGATTTATTTATGGATTTCTCTATTTTCAAAACTATATAATCTAAAATGCAAATATTTTATTTTTTAAAAACATGTATTTTACTTTCATCATTAACTATTCTTTTATTTTTGACCATAGATTTAGAAAATACCACTTTGAATAATGTTGTAAATATGTATAGTTGATCTACCTATTTTTTTCAATTCACGAATATAGAATTCATTTTATAAATTCTATATTACCGTGAAACATTATTTTATGTGTAATTTGCTTCAAGTGATTTAAAATAAAAACTACTTGATGGATAAATAATTATCTTTCGTAATTTCACGACCGCACTTACAATTCTCTATATTTTTCAATAACAAAACAAAATATTCATAACACATATATATATTTTTAAGAAAAGTAGCGCTAAAAATACTTAATTATATTATCTATTTATAAATATTTAATATATATATATTAATATTAAGGCATTGAAACATTAAAGCATGAATTTCTTTTACACATAACACAAACTTCTATTGTTCTTACTTCGATGAAAAAATAATGGAAGGGCTTGGCTCATCAGTGATGAAACCTCTCAACGATTTCGCCAATTTAACCTACCAGACCTCTTCTCAGAGTTCTAATACTGTATTGGATCATTCTGATAATATATGCTACACTGAAGAGTGGAATCTCAGATATGGTATTCAAGAAAACTATGGACATAAGCCTTTAGGCATAACACAAACTTCTACTGTTCTTACTTCGATGAAAAAATAATGGAATAGCTTAGCTCATCAGAGATGAAACCTCTCAACAATTTCGCCAATTTAATATACTAAACCTCTTCTCAGAGTTCCAATTCTGTATTGGATCATTCTGATTATATATGCTACACTGAAGAGTGGAATCTCAGGAAATGGTATTCAGGCAAACTATGGACATGAGCTTTAAGGAGAGTAGAATATATTTGGAATCATGGTTCGTTTTGATGAGGTATTGAAGAAAAAAAATTTTCTTATCATTAAAGTCATTCAAGTATTCAGGCAAACAAAGCTTTGCAAATAAGCTTTTAGGACTTTATAATATGTTCGGAATATTGGTTCATATTAATATCGTATTATGATGCACTAGCGCGCCATCTGTTATCAAAATACGAAACTATTAAAGACGCGTATGATTTTTTTTTTAAATAAAACAATTTCTACTGCCTTTACTGCAATGGAAAGCCATGTCCTCCCATTAATTTTTCCATTGTAATAAGGGCAGTAGAAATTGTTTTATTTTTAAAAGAATCATACGCGTCTATAATAGTTTCGAATAATCATCACAGTAGAATATGTTCGGAATCTTGGTTCGTTTTAATGTCGTATTAAAGAAACCTTTTTTCTTATCTTTATAGTCATTCAGGTATTCAGGCAAACTATGACAATAAGCTTTTAGGACTAATAATATGTAAAACGATATTTGAAAATTATCCCGCATGTGTTTCTTTTGAACGAAAAATCGAAATTTATTTTAAAGAGAAATAACGATTATTTCTAACTTTAGGGATTAAGTATGAAAGAATAAATTGTGAAGAGTAATGATAAACGGAAAAATAAATTGACCAGGATGGGAATCGAACCCACAGTGTTCCGCTTACCAGGCAGATGCCATGTCCACTAAGCTATTTTTCCGTTTATCATTACTCTTCACAATTCATCCTTTCATACTTCATCCCTAAGGTTAGAAATAATCGTTATTTCTCCTTGAAATATAAGAAACACATGCGGGATAATTTTCAAAAGTCCTTTTACAATCATAAGCCGCATTATATTGTATTGTAAATTACTATAGAATATATTTGGAATATTGGTTCGTATTAATATCGTATTAAACAAATTTTTTCTTATCGTTATAGTCGTTCTTATAATGTTATAAAAATCCTCAGCTCAAAGGTGTTGAGTTTCGAACCTAACACGTGGTCTCCGTCATCCGTTCGTGCTAAGAAAGAGTTGCCTAGCTAATAGTTTTTTCCAGGCATGCAGGAATTCTTCAGCGAAGAATATCTAATTCCACTCAAAAAAAGGTTTGAGGTGAGGGCATGAATATTTCATCGTTATCACACACCTTTGCATCCTATTGATCTCAACACCCAAGTTTGTTTGCCAACTAACTTAACTTACTTTTCTTCGATATATCACAATTGTTTAAAATTTTAGTAATGTTTTTATGTTAGCGAGTTTATCTTCTATTGTTTTAATATTATACCATGTACTAAATATACAAATAATGTGCTTTTACACACACACAAAGCTTTATTAAGACCACCGGTCTTATACAGATACACCACAGATTTACTCATCAATGGTAAACCCTCCAATCGGTTTCGCCAGTTTAAGCTACTATACGGCTGTTATATTGCAATTTTTGGTTTTCTTTTTATAGTGATATTGTTGCTAGACTCTTGGAATGGGTATTCTAGATGAACTAAGGACATAAGCTTTAAGAACAGTAGAAATGCATACATACATATATATATGAAAAAATAGTACAAATGTAACATTGTACGGGATAAGGTGCATAGATTAAGAAAAAGGCATCTCCTTATCGTGCAACAGCCATCAGCAACTTTCAGTTGCACGATAAGGAGATGCCTTTTTCTTAATATATATATATATAAGATAAAATTTACTATATTTTTTGTGTTTAGGTTAGATTATTAAATAGTTATTATGCTTATGAGGTGATACAGCAGCGTATTTACAATTAGAGAGGAGACAAAATGAATTAAATATAGAAAAAAGAAGTGAGGACATATCGGTCATTAAAGTCTGAGAGGCAAGGCCTTCAGCCAGTTCAGGGCTTCCGGGGTGACAGAATAAATTGTTGTTTATATGTATCATATTTATATCTTATTAAGGAGAGAAAAATGTAATAAAAGTAATTATATGTTAGAATAATATGTTTTTATTTTAAATAGAGAAAAATAAATTTTGAAAATAAAAATAAAATTTAACTAGAAATAAAAATATTTAACAACGTAACGTTTTTTATTATCGGCTTTTACCCGTCATTCAGACATACTCTAATAGATATATATGAATAAAGGAAGATATTTATAATGATTATATATTTATTTTTTAGTAAAAGAGAGGAAAGAGATAAAGAAAGAACCATACACTTTTATTTCAAACAAGGTAGAAGAATTGAAAGGGTGTTAGTATTTTATAGTTAATTAATAGAGTTTTTGTAATTTTTATATATATATATTTTTTCCATATATATATTTTTATAGAGTTAAAATAATATAATATAATGTTTGCCTAGTTAAAGAATGATAAACATATTTTAAATCTTTTTCAATTAGAAATTATTTTTTGGAACCCTAATGGTAGACCAGGACAATACAAAAAAAGGAGATTGGAAAATCAATTGAAAAGAGAAATCTGTGGTATCAGGGCTCTTCAGATGAAAATACCACACCATTTCACCCTTACTTCATTATGGTTAGATTTCTCTGCGACCATTATAGTGTATAAAAATTAAGTTAATATTAGATAACCCACATAGAATGAGGTTGTCTACTTACCTATTCAAAGTGACGCCTGTTGCTCTATATAGACAGTGCACATGTGGACAACCACATGTTACATATCCACACACGTGCATTGTCTCTAGAGAGCAACAGGCGTCACTTTGAATAGGTAAGTAGAATGATGAATGTCTAGAATGATGAAAAGCAGTTTGACTTTGCACTTACAAATGTTTCAGAGTCCTGTTAGGTTACTTACAATCGCTGTTGGGGTAGACCTTTGTAAGAATCGGGAGCCTTTGGAGCCTTTTTTATTAGAAAAAAGTTCCAAATGTGCAGGTTTCGATCCCCGATCGTAGCAGTCAGAAACAAAAGGTTTTGTTTACACGTCCACTGACCCCCAATATGTAGAATAATATAATTAAACAATTGAAAAGTTTTCCGGAGTTGAAATTCCTTTTATCTTATTAAAACCATCTCAAGCTTTCGGTCATCACTGTTCTTCTACAGGAGAAAATCTACAATGAATAAAACGCCACCTGATACCAAACTGTTTGTCATAAGGCGGCGTTTTATCCATTATAGATTTTCTCCCGTAGAAGAAAATAGATGCCTGAAAGCTTGAGACTGTTTTAAAATAAAAAGAAACTCATCTCCGAAAACCTTTTCAATTGTTTAATTAATGTCCAGGAGAAAATAAATCAAATGATATTGTTGCATCATGGCTAATGAACCTATTTTAATTTAAAATTTGTAATATTATCTTTCTTATATTTTAAATTCAAATTTATATTTTATATATTTATTAAACAGAATATATGTATTATAAACAGAATATATGTATTATTGAATCATCATTTGTATTTAGGTACACTGTGTGACCTCACTGCTCTCTTTGATGTGAGAAATAAAAAAAATATATTCTGAAGGCTACTTAAAGTAGAGTTATCTCATTATTCCCTTATATAAATTTATAGGATGGTTGAAACACGCTCTGGTAAGATTCAAGACCAAGCACAGGAGAGAATCAAGTTTGAAGAGTCTGCCAAGCCGCAACCTGGTGCAACAATATAGAATAATATGATAAACTTAAGATGGGAGGCAAAGATAGCATAACTGTAAGAATTTGGAAAAAATAGTTCCAATATGTTTTTGTACATCCATGAATTTACAAATACTACCCCTATTCACTTCCTTATCGAATATTAAAAAAAAAAAAGAATTTAATATTGAGATTTCTTCAACTGAACAATTGCAAGGTATTTCCATATGTCACTGATATCAAGAGAAAAAAAGAAAGATAAAAAAGAAAATTTAATATGGTTGGAATTATTCTTCTATAGTCTCAATGATATCTGATACCATTATGAGTTGAAGATTAATAAATAACAATAAATTGATTTTATTTATTCTGATATGCAACTTTAAATGCCATAGTTACATATAAGGAAAGTGTTCGCATTTTGATATTGAGGAAATAAAAGAAAACATTTACAAAACCTCTTATATACTCAGACATCAATTGTCCCTGATCTAAATGATTTAACTCTCTTACATCAGCTACTTTTTCTATATAAATTTTATAAACTCTGTCGAATAATACATGTGTAAATTTGTAAATATTTAATTCTAAGTTCTAATTAGTCTGTTATTTTGTTTGTTTCCTCTGTATTAGGTGCAAATATTTCAATATCGCACCTGGTTGATTAATAAATTTAAAAAAACTGTTATATAACATTATGAATTATTTATACGCAAATGTATTTTCTATAAAAAACAAATTTTATACTGGTTATAATGTAATGATAAATTATTTGAAGGGCCTGGCTCATCAGTGGTGAACTATCCCAGTGTTTTCGCCAGTTTAATCTACCATACGGCTGTAATATTACATCGGCTGTTTTGCTTTTATACTGATCCTGAAGATAAACTCTCAGAAATCGTATTTTAAATGAACTATGGAAATAAGATTTAGGGCCAGTAAAAATGTCTAGAATTATAAATTTATAAACACACTTCAAACATTTATCATCCTTAAATCAACAAATACTGATATATCAGCGTGCCATTATAAGAAATCAAACTATTTTGAAGCGTATGTTTCTTTTTAATAACAGTTTTTTACTCACAATACGCTTCTTTTAAATATCATCAAATATTATCTCTACAAACTATACTGCAATGATATGTGTTATTGAATGAGAGGGCTTGGCTCATCAGTAGTGAACCCTCTCAGCGGTTTCACCAAATTAATCTCTAGACCGCTCTACTATTGTATTGGATTGGTTTGGGATATACCCTGTATTTTCTATAGAAGGCAGCTTAGGAATGTTTAGTGAACTATGGACATAAGCATAGAGATAATATTTGATGATATTTAAAAGAAGCGTATTGCCAGTAAATTTATTTGTGAACGATTTTAACGATAGATGGCAATTAAATTTAATTTACTAATAAAAGTTTTTACTGTGAGAAAGAAAATAGCACAAACGTGAAATTGTACTGGGATCAGGTGAATATATTAAGAAAAAAGTATCTTCTGACCGTGAAACTAAAAGTTACTGATGGCTTGCGTTATCTATCGGAATAAATATCAAATATTCGTTTATTTTTTAATTATTCCACAGAATTGGCCAAATAATTTGATCAAGGGTATTTGGATAATTCTGAAATAATTAAAAATTAACAAATAATTGTTATTTATTCCGACAGATGGCGTAAGCCATAAGCAACTTAAAGTTGTATGAACAGGAGATGCTTTTTTTCTTAATTTTTGACTGTTCTCTCTGTGTGATAGTTGATTCAATCTGAATAAGATAGGCTGTGGATGCTGTGAACTCTATTTTGCCCCGAGTGACTCCAGGATTGTGAGACTATGTATTGTCACAGCGCTTCCACCATGAAAACGACACTCTTGGGTCCATTAACCACCTAGATCTAGAAGTTTTCAGAAGGCGATAAACCATATGAACGCTATGACGTACAGATCATCTTTCAGAGAAATGATCCAAAGTTTCACTAGGAACCAATCATCAAATCACTGTAAGAATCCTTGAAAGAAACACGTCAGATTCATATGAAAAACCAACAAAATATTTATGAGGCGGATCACAACTTCCATAGGGAAGAATAAGCTATGTTCTAGTATTTATATTTCTAAGTTTCGTATG